CCTCTGTCACTGTGTCCTCCCTCCCTCACTCTGTCACTAGTCACCCAGTCCCTCACTCTGTCACTAGTCCTTCCCTCACTCTCACTAGTCAACCCTCCCTCACTCTGTCACCAGTTACCCCCCCCCACCCCTCACTGTGTCTCCTCCTCACTCTGCCAACAGGTACCCCCTCACTCTGCCACCTGTCACCACCTCCCACACTCTTCCACCTGTCACCCCTCCCTCACACATTCTGTCACCTGTCACCCCCCTTGGACAAGTAGATTTTTTTTTAATATTCCACACCCCTGCACATGCAGACACACACTAACGTTCAATACACATATGCATTCACGCTGACACTATATACAAAAAAGCACACATGTAGTCATCCAGACATGCACAAGTGCATTCACACAGACTCAAATACAAACATGCATTGATACGCAGGTCTTCACAATATACACATCCAAAGGAATGACGTATTATATGCGAGTTATATTTAACATTTATTTAATGCACACATATTTGGCCTTCAAAGGGCCTGGGATCTATTTTTGCCCTGGGGCCCCAAAGGCTCTCAGTGTCACATCTTGCCATGTTCTGCGGAGATGTCTGGCTTTGGCTTCTGGTATCCAGTACTCTTTTACAATTCTTGTTTAGTTTTTCTTGGTTTTTTGATTTTCTATTCTATGTCTGGTTTTCTTTATGCTGGGTTTTTCTGGGTTCATTCCTGTTATCCGTCCCTGGAATTCCCAGTGTCCAGATTTCCTTTAAATGTTTGTTTTATGTTGCCACACCCGTTTGTTTTCCATCATTCCTTTTGTTTCATTGTCCTGCAGGTAGCTGCTCAAGCCTTTTGCCCTTTCTTGCAGGTAAGTACTATTGTGGTTTAGTATGGTTCTTTTAGCGAACATTAGGCAGTGTAGGACCTGCCTAATATGGGGTACATTGGCGTTGTGGCAGGCTTATGCAATGTATGATCATATAATGTAACTAAATCCCCACTGGGAAATTTCCCGGTATCCTGGTGGGCCACTCCGGCCCTGCTCCTGGCATTATAAGCACTACAGTGGGCTGTCGTGGTTATGATGCTTGATGTAAACCTTTAATGTAAATGTCCAAAAACTGTATCTCCTGTAGTATATCTGTGGGCCTCCAGCATTATATGCCAATCAAATAAATTGCAATGTCTATGATGGTTTTGCATAGGCCCATTCTCTCTTTTGGATGAAATAAGAATGTTAAAGTATGTCTACTATATTGTTTGTCACAGAACCACGCACTGATGAAGTTAGTCACTGTGGTGCACAAGGAAAATTAATGCACACATATTTGGCCTTCAAAGGGCCTGGGATCTATTTTTGCCCCGGGGCCCCAAAGGCTCTCAGTCCACCCCTGCACACAGACAAGCATACTGGTACACACAAATTTAGTACAGACAAACTCTGATACACACACAAGCTTACTACAGACAAGCTCACTGACACACACATGCTCACTACAGACAAGCTTACTGCACACACGTGCTCACTACAGACATGCTCACGATCACACCCATGCTCCCTACAGACAACTCACTAACACACACACATGATCCCTACAGACAAGTTCACTGACACACATACAAGCTCACTCATTGCAGGCACACAAACACACAAACTCACTAGCAGGTGCACACACACAGAAGCTCCCTCACTAGCGCACACACAGAAACACAGACAGAAGCTCATGCTCACTGACACACATACAAGCTCACTCACTAGCAGGCACACACACACACACACACAAACTCACTAGCAGGCGCACAAACACAGAAGCTCCCTCACTAGCGCACACACAGAAATACAGACAGAAGCTCACTCACTTACTAGCAGATGCACACACACAGAGGCAGACATCCACACACACAGAGACAGGCAGGCAGCCACACACAGATAGCCCCCCCCCCCCACACACACACACTCCGGCAGACAGTCACACAAACACACATGCAGACAGTCACACACACAGGCAGACAGCCACACACTTACACACAGGCAGACAATCACACACACACACAGGCAGTCACACACTCACAGCCAATCACACACATAGGCAGACAGGCACACACACACACACAGGCAGACAGTCACACACAGGCAGTTACACATACACACAGGCAGGCAGTCACACACACACAGGCAGACAGTCACATACACAGTCAGACACACAGAGGCAGACAGACAGTCACACACACAGGCAGACAGTTACACACACAGAGGCAGACAGTCACACACTCACAGGCAGTCACACACACACACACAGGCAGACAGTCACACACTCACAGGCAGTCACACACACAGAGACTGGTTGTTAGGGAAGCAGGGTCTCCTTCCTGCTTCCCATGCTGCAGTTACCAGGGCCCCCGCCGCACAGTACGCTCCGCCCCTGCCGCACGCTAAGCTCTGCCCCACCTCAATATTTTTTTTAATTTTTTTATTTATAATCCTGGCCGGCCATGTGTGAGTTGTGTCAGCCGTCTGGTGCTCCCTCCTCCCATGCCCTATGCGGCTGCACAGCTCGCACATGGCCGGCCGGGATTACAGGAGCCTGATCAGTGATGAATAGGGCTGTCAGCCCAGCCCCAGGTGCTGTTGCCCACTGGGAATTTTCCCGGTATCTAAGTGGGCATTACAGTGGGCTGTCGTGGTTATGATGCTTGATGTAAACCTTCAATGTGAATGTAAACCTTTAATGTTATGATGTTTGATGTAAACCTTTAATGTCCGAAAACTGTATCTCCTGTAGTATATCTGTGGGCCTCCAGCATTACATGCCAATCAAATAAATTGCAATGTCTATGATGGTTTTGCAGAGGCCCATTCTCTCTTTTGGATGAAATAAGAATGTTAAAGTATGTCATGAACTACTATATTGTTTGTCACAGAACCACACACTGATGAAGTTAGTCACTGTGGTGCACAAGGAAAATTAATGAACTAATGAATTACTACAGATAAATTAATTGGCTGAGAGCAGTCTGTTGATGTTCTGATCCAATAAAATGTGACAGGATCTGCATCTGGTTTCTGCAGCTCTGAATAAGCCAGAGGCCATCACCAGACCTGAAAGGAACATTGTCTCCCAAGAGACATCTACGTAAGAGGGCAGGTTGTTGCAAAGCAATTTCCCGCATTACAGGGGACCAGGGCCAGAGCATCATAACTACTACAGAGGGCTCATCTCAAAAACATGTTTACGATTTCAAAGCCCTTGAATAAAATCTAGCATCCCATGGTAAGAGATTTGTTTGTGAATCTTCTGTCATCATCTAGACCAGGAGTAGATAACCTACGGCACTCCAGATGTTGTGGACTACATCTATTATAATGCTCTTACATCCATAATGCCGACAAAGCACCATGAAAGATGTAGTAATCAACATCTGGAGGGCCGAATGTTGTCTATCCGTGATCTAGACCCATAGAACCAAAATGTCAAATTAAGACGTAGCCTTACTACAAAGATCTCAAACTGAAAGCATATTCTCAAGGCTGAAAAGTAGGTGCGTGGCACTAGTGGAACACTTTAGCAGCTAACAGCCATTAGAATTTTTGTGGCCAGTTGGGAGTTTTTCCAGCCTGTTCTCTATTTTACTGAGATATTCAGAATCCTATGATCTCTGTTTTCTCTCCAAAGCCCTTTCTGATCTAACTTCACCTGCACAATTTGAAGCCAGCATGTTGTCATTTGGAGGACTGGAGATATTCTTGTGAGTTGCTGCACAATTTTGTAATTGGAATTAGTATAGAGTGCCAAGATTACAACAAACCGAGAGAAATATCCTGCAAGGAGTGTGCACCAGATTGTGTTAACTTCAAGTGAGCTTGGATTTTTGCAGAAGACTTATTTTATAGAGGAGTGATATAACTGGAGACATACAAAAACAGCAAGTTCTACATACAAATATGTATATACAAATGGTATAATATAATGGTCTGGACCAGGATATGTATATGTTACCTGCATTATGTATCTGTTTAAAGGACTACTCCATGCACCGTAATCACAACAGCACTGTAAGTAGTCAAATTGGTTTAGGACATAGCTCATTGGCTGTGAGCGATCAGCTGACACTCTCCTCCAATGAGCTGGCCATGTACTTCAGGGACCAGCTCAGGGGAGCAAACAAAAGATCTTAGCTGGCGCTCCTAGCTCTTCGACAGGAGACCTTGGAAATATTTTGACTAGTGTAGTGGTTTTTAATGGTAATTGATGGAATTATTTACTTAAAAAATATTAGATACATATATATATATATATATATATATATATATATATATATATATATATATATATATATAATTGTCTTAATTTGGATTAATCACAAGCAATCAAAATTCAACTGACCTTTAATACACAAGTCACTTTCTAAAACACAAGCAACACAATGGGAAGGTTCCATAGTTTATTATATTATTTCAACACTCTACTTATAACCAAAACATACTCTCAACACAAGGGCTTACAGACAAGCATTCACTATACATCAAACTGTAAGCATCTCAACCAGTTTTCAAGTAAGCCACCTTCTCTGTGTCTTTAATATCCTCGTCAAGAATTACTCTTTTCTTGAAATCAGTTACTTCAAAAAGACGGTTGGCATGCATGGTATTCGAGACGTAGCAAAATACAAACAGTGATTATTACGATCCTATGGGTCTCATAGTTACCCACTCTCTTCCCCAGGTACTACAATTCTAAGTCCTTCAATCTCCGAGAACTTGACTTATGTTTAACAGCACTACCTGCTTATTTTGGGCATAGAATTGCATTAAAGGAACACTATAGTCAGTGGTGTATCCTGGTTTTGTGCTGCCCTAGGCAGGACAAAACTCAGGCGCCCCCCCCCCACCTTCTAAATACACACACACACAGTCAGACACAAAAACACACACACACAGTCAGACACACACACACAGTCAGACACATACACACACACACAGTCAGACACAAACAGTCAGACACATACACAGACACAAACAGTCAGACACAAACAGTCAGACACACACACACATACACACACAAACACACACAGACACACACACAGTCACACACACACACACAGTCAGACACACACACACACATACACACACAGTCGACACACACACAGACACACACACACATACACACACACAGTCAGACACATACACAGACACACACAGTCAGACACAAACACACACACAAACACACACAGACACACACAGTCACATACATACACACACACACACACACACATACACACACAGTCAGACACACACACACACATACACACACAGTCAGACACAAACACACACACAGTCACATACACACACAGTCAGACACATACACAGACACAAACACAGTCACACACACACTCACAAACACAAACACACACACACATTAACTTTTTTTTTAATTTAAATCCCCCCCCAACCTCCTTACCTTTGGGAGTGCTGGGGGGGGGGGGTCTCTCTCCCTGGTGGTCCAGTGGCTGCAGGGCGGGCGGCGCTGGCAGGCGGGCGGCCGGCGAGGGAGCACTTCCCATGAGCTGACTGCTCAGCTCCCTCGCGCGTCGGCTGCAGAGTGAGGCTGGGAACCGGAAGATGACGTCATCTTCCGGCTCCCAGCCTCACTTTGCGGTGCGCGAGGGAGCTGAGCAGTCAGCTCATGGGAAGTGCTCCCTCGCCGGCCGCTCGGGATGTCAGTTAGCCGCAAGGCTAACAAGGCATCTGCCCTGGGCATTTGGGGGGCGGCATTTTTTGCCGCCCCCTGAAAAATGCCGCCCAAGCAAATGCCTTGTTTGCCTCGCGGCTAATACGTCCCTGACTATAGTGTTTAAATGTGTATCCAAATGCTATAGTGCCCTAGTCACTGTTTAGGTTACCGGGTCCGGCTGCCAGTATTGAAGGTGAATTTTAATCGACTTTTTCTCCCTCACAACACTGGCCTCTGGCTTGCCACTCTGCCTTTTTGGCTGAAATCATGCAAATTGATGATCTGAGCCAATCCATTGATTTCCTATAGAAAAGCATTGGGAGGCTAGTAAGCATGCGCAGCAAAATGCCACTCGGCGCCAATCAGATGGTCTATTTAAGACCAGCTGCTTGAAAAAGTTGAGTTTTACTGATCAGAATGACATCTACTAGAGGCAGGTTAACTGTGCAAAGAAAACATTGCCATTCCTGCAGAACGGCGATGTTTTCAGATGTAGGGTTAAAACGGGGGGACATGACACCCAAACCACTTCATAGAAATTAAGTCTCTATGGACTGATAATAAACAGCTATTTTGTGTTTTTTTGTATTCTCTGGTTGATCCAATCTCTTCGGGTTAGGGCTAATTAGTATTCAACTCAACTTCTTTGTCTAACTACAGCCCCATATCCATAATCCTTTTGGCCTCAAGGCTTCTTTAAAAGCTTGTTCAAAACCACCTGGCTTATATTCTCAAATCCTTGACTTTCTTTAATCAGTTTTTCCAAACTTCACTCTGCTGAAACTGCCCTCACCAAAATGACCAATGACCTAATCGGGCTAAACCCAAAGCCATTACTCACAATTCTTCTTGATCCTCTCTGTAGGTTTTGATGTTGACCACATATGTTTCTACACAGTTCACAACCTTTGCCTTAGTTACACTGTACTTTTCTAGTTCCCTGACAATAAATAGAGCTTCTTCTTTTTCAAAACATTTTATTGGATGTTAGAATATAGAAAACAAAGTGGGTTTGGGAGTTACATAGCTGAACATTTTTGGTAGATATTTCTATGTTAATAAAACAAACAAGAAACCCAAGACCAAACAAAACATACATGGAGCTTTGTATCCTATTTAGGCCTTGTTCCAACAAGGTCTCATTTGGATAAGCTTTTCAAATGATATAATATTTTTAGATAAACATTTTATTTTTCAAAATATTAAAATATCAAAAAATATATCATATAAAATGTTTTATCTTTATATGAAAAAAATATCAAAATCTTTTTCAAAATATTAATTTTATCCAAAGATATTAAACCATTTGTAAAGCTTATCCAAACATATAAAATCAAGTCTTAAAGGGTTACTCCAAGCACCACGATCACTTCATAGATTTGAAGTGGTCATGGTAACTGAAGTCTGCATGTGCAGTGTTTCGCTTCGAAATGCTGCACATACAGAAATTAACTCCTTAAAAATTAAAATTAAAATTGCTGTCTAATGTACAGCATGCTGGACCTCCCAGGTGCTGCCACGTCTTTTCCTCAGTCTGCCCTCCCTGACCTCAATCCCTTTCAGTGAGAAGGAAGATCGAGCAGAGGGATCAGGGCCGACGCTACCATAAGGCAGCCGCCTTAGGGCACAATGTCAGGCTGTCCGGCAGGAGGGAAGCGCACTGCGTTCCCCTCCTGCCGGTTACTACTTGCAGCGTGGCCGAGCGCAGCCCAGAGCTTTCCGCCCGCGGAGCCCAGCCTCTGCCCGCCCAGCCCTCTACTCTGGTGTCTGCCGCAGGCTGTGTGGAGGGGGCGGGGATATGAATGATATCATATCCCTGTTCACTGTGTACCACACAGTGCGGCTGGTGCCCAGTGATAAGGCTGGGCTGCAAGACAGGACTCCACAGAGCCGGACAGCATGCACCCCAGGGACCAGGTTGAACTGATGTAAGTATGTATGTCTCTGTATGCATGTATATATGTTTCTGTATGCATGTATATATGTATGTCTCTGTATGAAGGCCTCTGTATGCATGTATGTATGTATGTATGTCTCTGCATGAATGTATGTATGTCTCTGTATGCATGTATGTGTCTTTATGATGGTATGTCTCTGTATGCGTGTATGTCTCTGCCTGTATGTCTCTGTGTGACTGTGTATGCCTCTGCCTATGTATCTGTGTCTGTATGTTTCTGTATAATTATGTCTGTGTTTGTATGACTTTGATTGTGTGCCTTTTATGACTGTGTGCCTGAAAACGATGACTGTGTGCCTGTGGCTTGGAAGGAAAGACACACAAAGGGATCTGAATGGGAGGGACACACAAAACGGACTGAGGGGAAAAAGAGCCACACAGAGGGACTATGGTGGACAAGGAGACAAAGAAACAGGCTGGGATATGAAAGAGACCCAGAAAGGGACTGGAGGGAAGAGACACACAAAAGGGCTGGGGGGAAGTAAGATACATACAAAGAGGGTTGTAAGACACACTAAATGGGAATAAAATACACTAGAGCACAAAAGGGGTAAGAAATTCAAAGGGGGAGGGGAGTTACAACAAGACACACAGGTTTTTTATGCATCTTCGCCTATGTAGCTAAAAATCCTTGTACCGGCCCTGAGAGGGATGCTTCAGCATTGGAAAAATAGATGAGTTTTTGCATTTTTTTTGTAAATTCTTTATTTTCGTGGTTTTTCAAAGAAGTTGGGGTACAGAATGAAGATAAGGGGTGGGGTAGCAAACATTGCAGTTACATTGGAGTGTAATAGCTTAGTACATTGTAGATTACACAATTTATGTACAGCGATTGTTCTTTTGTTCATTTTAGGACCAGAGTGGTCTGCATTTCGGATTTTTACCCTCTACTCGCTTGGAGAGGTTCTTTTGAATGTGTTTTTTTTAGGTCCTAGTTTGTGGAGTCTGGGTGGCTTTTGTAGTGTCTATGTCTCCTAGGGTGTGTGAATTTTGTTGTTTGTAGGGTGTACTTTTGTCGGTGTCGCATGCCTGTGTTTCATGGGGTGGCAATGGGGGTTTCCGTTTATCCGTTGTGTGGCCCTTCGTCCTCTCTGGTGAGTTTTTGCATTTTTAAAGATGGGTTTAATAGAAATAAAATCAGTGTTTTATTAAAAAAAAGTTTGTTTTAGTTGGAGAAATCTTTTTTTTATTATTATTCCAAGTTTTATTAGTATATTACAGAAAAGGTATAAGAAAGTAATGTTAAAAAAGGCATACATTATCAATATAGCAAAATATAAAACCGTAAAATACAATCAGTTCTCAATATTGGAACATCGGCAGGGAAGAACAGTAACCAGTTATCTAACCCCTCCCATCATTTCCTTTGTACAGTGTTGTTCCACTTTAACAATTCGTTAACCTACCGAGCCACCATAAGACCACCAACAATGTAACTTTTAACCGAAGCAGTTATCACTTGAACTTTATTTGAAAAAATATAGGAAAGGACAAAGTTTGCTCATGAGCGGTAGGAACAGATGTTATAGCGGGAATGTCCTATGTGACAAGTGAGCAGTCTGGAGCATCATCGCAGTATATCTGCGCAGATATGTGAAAAGGAAAGGTCATAGGAGAACAGAGCAAAAAATTTAGACAGAAAAAAAAAAGAGGGGAATACGAGACAAAAAACCCCATCTTTTTTAGAAGGGGGGAGGAAGGGGGAAAGCAAAGCTCCAGAACAGGAAGGGTGATGTATAGGTGGAGTAAGTAAATAGGTATGTCACCCATCCAGTGCGCCCTCCAATTCCTGGTACTATTCCCCAAAAAGGGAGTAACCCTTTAAAACCAGTCTTGCAAATGTAACTCTTGTACAATCCAGTTGTAACTATTTCTTATGTCAGTGGAAGAACCATTCAAGCATCCCAGCAAGCTTGTGGTCTCAGGCTTTTTTTCACTCTGGATTCACCTTTACTCCTCCCATCTTTTTCCAAATTGTTTCACTTTAAGACTATTGGTTGTATTCACTCCTTTTTTAACACAAGACACCACTAAAATACTTTTTTGTGGCCTCACCATTTCCAATTCAATAATTGTAACTTAAAGGGACACTATAATCACCAGAATAAGTTCAGATAATGAAGTTGTTCTGGTATCTGCAGGCATTTTAATGTAAACACTGCCTTTTCAGATAAAAAGTCACTCAGACGACCACTAAAAGTGCTTCCTGGGTCAGTGCTGCAGTTTAGAGTGTCCACGCTCTGCATGGAGGCGCTAAACGTTTCTCATGCAGATGCATTGTGTCAATGCTTTTCTATGAGGAGATGCTGAATGGTGAAGCCCAGCATTTTGCCATGCATGCACGATAGCCTCGCAATGCTTTACTTTGGGAGATCATCAAGTTTCTCAACAAAGGGGACAAAGCATGGGTGGGGCCAGCCCCGACCCTCAGGGCACTGTATAAAATTTTGGAAATAACCTTTTTAACTGGAGGTAAGGGAAGCCAGGGGCCTAAACAGCTGCTTAGACATATAGTGTCAGGAATATACATTTGTATTCCTGACACTATAGTGTTTCTTTAATCCCCACCAATCTCCATCATACACACATTGCACCACTACAATCTACGATCAATACTACTGCCAGGCTCATCTTGCTTAAACCTCTTCTTAATCATCCCACTCTGCCAGTGATCTTCTCCTGTCCTCTGTCACACGTTACTGACTCTCATTTAGAGAACTTCTCAAGGGCAGCACCATTCCTGTAAAATGTTCGTCACCATCCTGTTAGATATTGACATAGTTTCCAGTCCTTTAGAGTGGTCACAAGAAACTTATTTATTGTTGACAGTCAAGCAATGCACAAAGAAGCTCTTCCCTATGGTTCCATGAGAACAAAATTGGGGTTCTGTGGCATTTTGCCACATCCAAGATGGCTGCCGCTACCTGCTGTTCCCGTTAGGTTGGAAACAGCAGAGATCGCACACCCACGATCTCATAAGAGATCGCGGGAGCACGATCTTAAGCCTTGCCATCAGAGCCCGTCTGGCCGCCCGCCCGCCCTGCCATCAGCACTTAGACTTAGCTCGTCCGTGAGAGAGCCTGCCCAGCTATCAGCCAGCCCCCCCAGCAGTCAGCCAGCCCTGCTGTCAGCCCTTTTCTATCACTCGTGCTAGAGGAGTGATGAAGATCGGAACTCCGTTATTGTCATAGATAGAAAGCTCTGTTAGGTAAGGACATAGAAATCTCTGTTAGGTAAGGACATAGAAATCTCTGTTAGGTAAGGACATAGAAATCTCTGTTAGGTAGGGACATAGAAAGCTCTGTCAGGTAGAGAAACAGAAAGCTCTGTTAGGGACATTGAAAGACTCTGCTAGGGACATTAAAAGACTCGGTTAGGGGCATTTAATGACTCTGTGAGGGGCCAAAAAAACTGTTAACTGTATTTTTCAAAGTGTTCAAGTCTTTTTCCTCCAAGTCTAACTCAAAAATCCTGCTTTAGTTCAGTTCTTTCTAAGACCGTTATCAAAATCTGCATCCTTTTCAGTCAGATTGTGAGATCTGTATTTTTCAAAGTGTTTATTTTTTTTATAACCAATAAACAACCATGGATTTGGAAAGCTGGTTAAAGCAGGGAACTCTTCAGAGAAAAATTATTACTACTTCTACCTGTTCGGCACTTATAGAAACTGAGAAATATACAACTAAAAATCCAGAAAACATGCCCGAAATAGTTGTATCTACTGTTCCTCAAATAGCAGAGACAAAAAAAATAAATAAAAAATAAAAGCACATAATGCTAGCCCAACATTTTCTCAAACAAAGAAAAGATGATGGTAGCTACTTGTCATTTGGATTCACAAGTGCCAGAAATGAAGATTGTTCTGAAGCACAATGCGTACTTTGTAATAAAATATTGCCAAACAGTTCATTAGCACCTACTAAATTACGTCGTCATTTTGAGGAAAACCACGCAGAGTACAAAGATAAAGACATTGACTTTCTTAAGTGAAAGCTAAAGGAGTATCAGAAGAGTAAACAATTGATGAGCAAAAAATCTCAAAATGCTAATGAAAAAGTCTTAGGCTTCTTACAGAGTGGATTACCGCATAACACTTGCAGGAGAAGCACACGCAATTGTGGAATCACTAATAAAACCGTGTGTAAAAGAAATAGTGTAATGTACTTTAAATGAAAAGTTGAGTAAAAAAAATTGAAGCTGTGCCACGTTCCAACAACACAGTTTTGCAACGTTTTCATGATCTTGCTGATAACATCCATACTGAACTAATTTCTCAACTGCATCAAATTGCTGGGAACTCACTGCACTTAGACGAGTCCACAGATGTTGCAGGTCTTTCGATTTTGCTGTTTTTTGTTAGATATTTTGACAAACAGATTAAAGAAGACTTGCGTCTGTGTGAAACTTTGAAAACTCATACCACAGGTGAGAACATCTTTAACTGTATCCAGAAGTTCATGAACACACACAGTATAAATTGGGACAAATGTGTAGATGTGTGCAGTGATGGTGCCAAAGCAATGGTTGGGAAAGTGACAGGCACTGTGACATGAATAAGAAATGTAGCGAAAAACAGCACCAGTTCTCACTCTGTTCTTTACAGACATGCACTGATAGCTAAAAATATTTCAATCTCACTTAAAACTGTGTTAGACGAATCGGTCCAGATGATTAATTTGATAAAGAGTCGACCATTACAGTCACGACTATTTAAAATTATATGTGAAGATATGGGTAGTCACCACTCTGCTTTGCTTTTGCATTCAGAAGTCTGTTGGCTATCACGAGGTAAAGTCCTTATTAGAATGTTTGAATTGTGTCAAGAGTTGTTTGCATATTTCCAGGATCACAAATTTGGATTTTATGTCAAGACACGGAGGCGAGTATTGCTTATCCCTTTCTTTACTGTCCACCAATAGCAGCAAAGAATACAAACCGAAAGAAAAAAATGGTATCCATAGTGATAAGCCACTCCCATACCAAGTCCCAGTATAAGTCAACACCTCCCAACATATTTCCTCTTTCTTTGCTGCTCTACACAAGATAAGTACAGCAAATTTTACTCATACCAATAACTGTTTGCCTTTATCTGTTTTGATTATTATTTTATAATTTCTTCTTATTATATTGTTATATCTTATAGTAAAATTTTTTTTTTCCTGTTTATTACTTCTGTTTTTGTACCATATTAAGTTAATATATATTACCTTTAAGCCCAGGGTTCCAGATCTTCCTTTGGGGAATTATTAAATGTATTTCTCCTCTCTTGAGCTTTACTTTGTTGCTCATATTTTCATTTCCTTCATTCTCTCCTTATTCTGCCTTATTTTTCTGCTTTTTGGATCTCCCCCCCTTCTCATTGAGTGTTTGGCGCCCTTTTGCGCCTGTTTCCTGTTTCGGCTAAACTCATCACAAACCTGTGCCGTTCAACTGTTTTGCCACGAATGGTTATTTGTTCGACTGTTTTATAGGATACTGAACGTTCGTTAGTTTGTTCCCACAAATTAATCTTGTTTTGCCGAACGTTAGGTTTGCAAATTGAACGCGTTCACAGGATTTTTTGCCACGAATCTCGCAAGACTCGCGGCAGCAATTTTCTGACCTTCCATCCTACAAATGCCAAAGTCTAATGTGCCTGCCTGCCCCCCTTCCTTTGGTAAGATGGACATGTCTCAGGGCTTGGGGAACCCCTCTTCAATTTCTAGTTCTCCTTCATCAGTGGTTGACCCTAGGTCTCTACCTGATGAGGCACAGTCCCTGGCGCTACAGCGCTCAGTCACTGACGCCATTATGGCAGCTATGGGCTCTATGTCTTCTGCCCTGTGAGCAGGGTATTGAGCTTTTGAACCCCCCTCAGTCGGGGGTGGCTGTGAGTGGCTCTCGGAGTGACTCCCCTGCTACTGCGGGCTCCACTCTCCTGGATCCATCTGTGGAATGCATGTTCGACCCGGATGATCTCCATCACCCGAGGTCAGCTGAATGGCTCCCAGAGGACCATGTGGCACGTTACCTAGAAAACTGGGTACGGCGCCCCCTCAGTAAGGCGGCCCGGAGTAAGTTCAGGGCTGAATGCCCCTTTGGTGCCAAACAAAGTGTGTGAGACCCCAGTAGTCGACCCCAAGATGACCCAATTCCTCGTGCCAAGACAAACATCGGGACATATTTGGTCCCTTGACAAAATTGTTCGACCTGGCTGAAGACACCAGAGCTGAGAACAGACAGGTTGACCTGGAAGAACTCTGTGGCTGGGTACAGAGAGCAATCTGCATAGCAGGCAGTGTTAAAACCTCTGGATAAAGCCTAATCCTCCACGAAGAGGGTATTTCAAGGGCGGGTCTCTACCAGGGCCAGCTGATTCAGAGGTCGTCTGTCCAGCTGTTCCAACTACAACTCCCATGGCTCAGGACGAGGTTCCTACACCCAGCGATCCCCCTATCAGGAGGCGAGAAACCAGTCCCCCTTCTTCCCTTCTCGCGGAAAGCCATGGCGATCCAGAGGCTTCAGAGGGAACTCCGCTTCCAGACGCCCTTACGGTAAGCTTACATCTACCTCATGTTTCTTCCCATATTTGTGTAGGGGGCAGACTCCGTCATTTTTTACATACTTGGTCAGCCATCACCTCCAATGCTTGGGTTCTGGCCACAGTTCGGGGTTTTCACATAGAATTGGTCAACACTCCTTGTCACATCCCCCCTCCACACCCATTCTCCATAAGCGACCGCGTCTTGATAGACGTGGAATTGTCTGCCCTTCACAAAAAAGGGGCGATAGAACTAGCCCCCACGTCCCCCACAGGGGCACTCAGCAACATCTTCCTTCCTGGTGGAAAAGAAGGGTGGACAAATGTATCCAGTTATCAATCTCCTTCCCCTCAATGCCTTGGTGCGCTACCGCCACCTCAAGATGGAGGGCATCCACCTCCTGCGGGACTTACTCCTTCATGACGACTGGATGGCGAAACTGGGTCTGAAGGACGCGTACTTGACGGTTCCTGTGGCTGAGACGTTCAGGGACTTATTCGGTTTCCTCTGGAAGGGTGACACCTAGCGTTTTACATCTTCCTTTTGGACTCTCGTCGGCACCTTGGTGCTTCACTAAATTGATGCACCCGGCCATGGCTTGGTTGCGCAGTCGAGGAGTTTGACTGATTGTCTACTTGGATGACATCCTGATCATGGCACAGGATCAGACGCAACTCGACGCCTCCTGGTGGACGCATGGGCTCCCGGTAATAGACGATCATATGGAACCGCTTGAGCTGGCGGATGCCTGGCTCGGAACATGGATCCCGTTTCGGCACCTGTAACTGCGATCCTTTAATTCCTCACCTCGTTATTTGAGGCTGGTCGTGCGTATTGTACGATTAACTTGTACAGATCGGCCATTTCCTCGGCTCATTGGCTTGACGGCTGTCCCGCAGACCAACACCCTTTTTGTGTGCCGTTTGCTTCGGCGCTCACGACTGTTGCGCCCTCCTAGGCCTCGATACTCTTCTACTTGGGACGTCTCCTGCGTATTGTCTCTCTTTAATTCCTGGCCTCCTAACTCAGACCTCTCCTAACGGCAATTGTCAGCCAAATTGGGCTCCCTCTTTTGCATAATTTCATGCAAACGGGTTTCGGATGTTTGTGCCCTGGACTACGATGATCGGTCTTTCACTCTGGAGGGGGTGACATTTAACATAACCAGACGCACTAAGACGGCGATTCTGTCGGTTTCGTATCAGAGTTTTCCAGTTGCTCCGGCGTTGTATCTGGTGGCTTGTTTGCGTGAATATGAGCTTCAGAAGAGTGCACATCGTTCGGTCTCGTCCCCACAACTTTTTCTCTCGGTTCGTCACCCGTTTTCCCGTGTCCAGTACTACCTTGGCCCACTGGGTGAAATGGGTGAAGTTGCTAGCGTGGATACGTCCATCTTTAGTGCTTATTCCTCCCGGGGGGCATCAGCCACGTCTATGGTGGATTCGGGGGCACGTCTGAAAGACCTGATGAGGAATGCGGACTGGTCCCGTGAGTCCACATTTCGCAAATTTTATTTTCGACCAGTCCCTCACGTTTTTTCATCGGTAGTTGGTCAGCTTTAAACTTGCAATATGAGCCTTCATGTCGTGACATAAAATTACATGATTTTGCTATTTCATGATGAAAAGTCATGATTTTATGAAAGACACGGAGGCGAGTATTGTCCCACCCTTCTCTGTTTATCTCACTTGATTCTCCCTCCCTGTTGACTTTTCAATCTCATATAAGGATTCCAGGGTGTGGTAGGTATTTGTGGTGCACACTGTGTTTATTTAACCATTTATGATCACATGTGACCCAGCTATGTTTGTTTTGTCATGAGGTTTTTTGCTATGTGGGTACTGTGTCCTACTATTTATCGATATGATGTGTCTTGGCATGCGCACTTTGGTTCAAGTACCGATTTAACCGTTGGGCTCCTGTTTTTTGTGTTTTCACAGGATGATTCTGTGCTGCTTGAGGGTCCTCACTGCTTCCCGCAAGGTTTCACCTCATTTGCTGGATGTCTACGGCTTGTCCTTTGATGGGATCCTCTATGTTGGCGATTTCTGATTCTGTGATGAATTGGTCCCAGTTTGTTATTTGTTCCTGGTTGGATTCCGGCTGGATTTCGAGACAGTTGTTCTGCTGTGGTTGGACTGATTCATCGGTTCCTGTTTAATGTTGGTTGTTGTGTCGCATCTACAAAGAAAGAGGAAATATGTTGGGAGTTGCTGACTATTATACTGGGACTTAGTATGGGAGTGGCTTATCACTATGGATACCATTTTTTCTTACGGTTTGTATTCTTTGCTGCTATTGGCGGACAGTAAAGAAAGGGATAAGCAATTTGAGCGTCCGTGTCTTTCATAAAATCATGACTTTTTGTCATGAAATAGCAAAATCATGTAATTATCTGATCGATTAACAAATACTCTGTGGTTATCCAAAGTTGCAGACATATTCACAAAATTAAATGACGTATGTCTGGGTGCCTATAATGGTCCTTTAAGGACTTTCTTGAAAAATCAGAAATTAAACTTGAAGATGAAATTTGCAATGAATTGTAGATCATCTTCGCCATTTAATCACATCTATTAATCAGTATTTTCCATTCTTGAATGAAAACAATGACTGGGTTTGAAATGCATCCATAAAAGGCAAGCCAGACAATTTTTCTGATGTAGATTTTGAATATCTGATCGCTATAACTTCTGACAGTCAACTAAGCCAAAAATGTAAAGTTTCTCTTATTGCTTTTTGGGGTGATGTACGTGAAAAATACCCAGAATTGTCCAAGCGCTGTATAATGGACAAACACTTAATTCTAACAAAACATGATTGCCGTAGAACAGTAGGTGAAAAGGGCCCTGCCCAAACAAGTTTATAATCTAAATATGGCTGTACAATGTGAAGTCAAAGTGAATTTCAGATTTTATGCCAAAATAAGCAGATGGAAAACATTGGTGGCTTGGAAATTTTTTCCAGATTGACTGTTTTTGCCAAAAGTGTAAAATTCCTTTTAAATTTCTGACAAGTTCCATTTCAGCGAATAACCCTGCCTTTACTTTACTTGGTACTGGTGCTGTGATGTAACAAATTTCTCAGGATACTTCTTTTTACATTCATGTTCTCCTGAAGAAATTGCAAACTGGAGGCCAAAATTGCAGAAGTGGAGTATTTTTATAGTATGAATATTAGCCTATTACTTGAAATTCCCTAATTCACTTTGCACAAATTCAATAGTGCATCAATATTCCAATTGTGAAAAATATATTTATCTACAGTGTAATTCCTTAACCCCTTAATGCCACAGGGTGTTCTATGCCGTCCTGCGGAAGCCAGGTTTTAATGCCGCAGGGCAGCATATAATGTCCTGCCTTTCAGTGGTCCCCCCTGCGATCGATACCTGCTGCCGCGATGCCGATTAAGGGGACTGCCTGACAGCCCACCTACAGCACCTCCAGCTCCCTCAGGCCCCTGTGATCGCTCTCGCAGAGCGACCACATGGCCGCAATAGGTGGCCAAGCTGTGCCTGCAGGGGCACTACATGGTCTGTTAGGCAATCCCCCTATTGGCAAAAAATTGTAGAAAAAAATGATCATGGCAAAAAGATATATAAAATTATACTGTATATAAAATCTTACATATTTTAGTCTACGTTTTGCAATTCAAAACTTGTAATTCTCAATCTAGTAAAAAAACCAAACCATAATTTAAAAAAAATATGAAAGAGTTTATATAACAACAAATATGGCTATACAGCTTGTTTTGGAGACAGTGAGGTAGCAAATTAAAATCTAAATGGCATAATTCAGGCTAAAATATCTGTCAAAAAGCTGTCACCAAAGCGGAGTTGGAGAATTTTTTTCCAGAGCACCTAACTAAGCCTTAACATTGTGATTGGACTTTTATTTTAATGCGTTTAGCATATAATACCAGACTCCAAATTATTATTTTTTTTTTAAATAAATTATTTGTAAATGGTCCTAAATACAGCTCGTTTGATCAATGTCCTCATCAACCTATTGTTCTTGTAACAGTTTGTAATTTTCCCATTTATTGTTAATTTCTCCCTTTATTATATTGTAAAGCGCTGCTGAATAAATTATATAAATGCTAATAATAATAACTAGCTGCAGTTAATAGTTCCCCAGCTCAGTGTTTCCCTATATCAGTGGTCCTCCTGTTGCCACACAGCAATGGGTGGTTTCATTCTGGACCAGTTCCAGTGGTTATAGTCGCTGTAGAATGCTGAGATGCTAATCTCCGTTGACACAGTGGGCAGTCGCAGTATGATTGACCCCAGCCAGCGGTGCAGGGGTTACCTCGTGCTCTCAGCCAGGCGTGTGCCGCAGGCGGTTGATTTTGTCCCCCCCGCCCCTCCGTATCGCCCCCGTTGCTCGCACAGTGAGCCGCACATGCGCACTGCATCCACTCCCCGCCCTCCCTCCTCCCTCCCAGCTCGGCTGGCTGTACCTCTCCCCTCCTCACCATAGCTGGGCACAGGGAGGGCTTCCTGTCTGCACCGCATAGAGGGTCTCTGTCTGTCCGAGCAGGGCACCGGCTGGAGGACCGCCGCAAGGTACGGGGGAGCTGGGTATCACCGGGTATGGGTATCATTTCCATGGCTGTCCTCTGGCTGCTCAGCCACTCCTCCCCGTGTTGGGCTGCGATTCCCATGAGACCCATCCAGCCATGGTGACTGATTGTTATGAGGATCATGGTCCATGACAGCAAGAGTGTCAGAGATCAGCCATCACTGGCAGGCAGTGCCTGGATACTGTGTGTGTCTGAACAATCCTGTAAGATGGTCGGCCAATTCAATACTGAGCATTCATGTAGCCCTGTGATGGCTATTACAGTGATGGCAGGCTGTGCATGCAGTGTGTACTGGCCATTATTGTGATGGCAGGCTGTGCATGCTTTGTGTTGTGCTGTGCGCTGGCAGGATGTGCATGCGGTGCACTGGCAGACTTTGCGTTAAGTGTGGTCTGTTGGTTTGAAATGTGATGACTATTAGTGTAATGACAGGCTGCACATGTAGCTTTATGTAGTTTACTGCTGTTGATAAGTGTACTGACAGGCAGTGTATTGAGTGTGCTGGCTTTTAATATAATGGCAGACTTTGCATGCATTATGTTGGCTATTAGTGTAATGACAGACTGCATGCAGTGTGCATGCTATTTGGGCAATGTCAGGCAGTGCATGCAATGTGTCTGCTACTAGAGCAATGGCAGTTGGTGCATGGAGTGTGCAGGCTATTTGTGTAATGGTTGGTGGCGGGTGCAGTGCGCCGACTGTTAGGGCAATGGCAGGCGGTGCGCCGACTGTTAGGGCAATGGCAGGCGGTGCGCCGACTGTTAGGGCAATGGCAGGCGGTGCGCCGACTGTTAGGGCAATGGCAGGCGGTGCGCCGACTGTTAGGGCAATGGCAGGCGGTGCGCCGACTGTTAGGGCAATGGCTTGCGGTGCGCCGGTTGTGAGGGCAATGGCTTGCGGTGTGCTGGGCTGTCTGTTAGGGCAATGGCAGATACAGAAACAGCAAGTTGGACATTATAGTAGTAAAGTGAAAGGTAACGACAGTCTGGCAGTGGTACAGGATGGTTGTGGTCTGTGTTATGGCTGTGTTTTAATACAGTGGGATGGTTGTATGCACTGTCATGGTACATTAAAGGAAAGATGAATAGTCAGATGGTAGTGTGCAGTGTGTTGGTAGAGTAATAGCATGCAGTGCACAGGCAATCTATTGTTACAGCATTGCAGGGTGCACATTTGTTTGATATTGTGCAGTGTTACAGTAACGATTTAGTGCATTAATACGACATGGTACAGTGGTGGCAGTTTCAGCACTTTGGTAGTAAAAACATCTGAACTTGATGAATGCCTATTTTTCAGCCTACATATCTATGTATAATGTGATGTTGGTATGATCAGTTTGATGTCATGTTCAGTATTGGAATGACTGCCATGGTAGTGAGTAGTTTCATGGCTTTGCGTCAATATCCGCATTAGATCAATGTGCACTGAATGCACTCCGGTGTTCTAGAAGTGTAGTGCTACTTTAGCGTGATAGTTGAATGTGCTGACCGGATGTACAGTATTGGTAATGTGGAATGTGATTTTGTATTGTGTGTTATGATAGATGGCCTGACTTCCCCATGTTTTTCTGCACAATTTAAGGACCAGTTTGGGTACCATAACAACTTAATTGAAGTTAAATTGTTATGGTGCCAGGAAGTCCCTGGGGTTGACTTAGCTTAAGGGGTTAAACCTTTCTCATTAAAACTGGCTTTCAAAAGGGTAAAAAAATTTTCAAGCCAGTTTTATGAACTGGGATTCACTGATTGGCTGACAGCCTAAGCTGAATGCTCTCAGCCAATCAACAGTGCCACTGCCCGATTCTGTAAGAGTCTTTGTAATTTCCTGATTTTTGAGAAAACGGAAGAACAGAGAGACAGAGTGATTATAGCACTGGTACACAGACTTTGGCCTTAAACAATTTGAGAATGGTTCAACATCTTAAGTTGAGTCAGCACCAGGGACCTCCTGGCACCATAACAACTTCAATTTGATTGCATTGTTATGGTGCCCAGAGTGTTCCTTTAAACTGTATGTGATTCTGTGGTGGCCCATTGTGTTAAGAGCACTGAAATAATAGTATTTACACAAAATGTACATTTGAATGGGTTTTGTTGTATTTGAGGTTTTCTTGGAGAATATACATATAACTGTTGGGGACCAGAGTATGACCTAGTGGTGTTAGTGAATTTGTATGCGAGACACCATGCACAATGACTGCTATCACTAGATCCTAGTTCAGGTAAAAACTATATGGCAGTGTTTATGCTAGATGTTTTAGGGTATTTTTCCTTATTCCACTTTATACTATCTGAATATATATTTTCAATACAGAAAATGTTTTCTAAAGTCACATGAGCAATTGTATACCATATTGTGTTGATTGTCGATGTTTAGTTATTGACCCTAGTTAAAAAGGACAGAGCATCAGTTATGATGTTTAGTTGTTGTTATAGGGATGTTCGGTGAGGGTTTTATGTAGGTAGCTTTGCAAGTATTTGCTCTATTGAGCAACACAAAAATGGCAATGTAGAGAGCAGAATGTGTCTGATATCACTGACAATTTCAGCTGGTAGCTTGGCAGGCTTGTTTGGAACAATTCATTTTTTTCACTTGTCAGCTTAAGTAAAGGGTAGCTAAAATAATCTACCAAAGTGAGGCAGAGCAAGACCTCAACACCAGCAGGTTATAAAATCACTTATTACATCTAGCTGACAGTAGTGTTAAGAGGTCATTGGGTACCATCAGCATGTGTATTTAGTTTGGATTATCTGTATTCTACTAGTATAAAAAGGAGCATTAATTCTCATCTTGAAAATATAATTTTGCATCTTTAAGACCACGCCTTGAATATTATGTGCAATTTTGGGCACCTGTTCTAAAGAAGTATATTTTTTGCACTAGAAAAAGTGCAGAGGTTGGGCTATAAAATTTATAAAAGAAATTGAGCATTTTAGTTATGAAGGTTAACAAATGTACATTTTTTTTTGTTTAGAAAAATGGTGCCTCAGGAGGCATATGATAGCATTATACAAATATATTCAATACAAACAGTTTATGAATCTATTCATAAACCGGAATATACGTAGGACACAATGTCGCGCATTTAGACTGGAAGAAAGGAGATTTGGTCTAAGGCAAAGGAAAGGGTTTTACAGTAAAAACAATAAGGATACGGAATTATCAGAATCTGTACAGATATTTAAACATAAAATGGATGAAAACACTGCGGATATCTGTTGAGCTATATAAATGGCAATAATAATAATTTCAAAATCATAATATTTTTAATTTGTGGGGTTGTAGCTTCTTGATCCAAGAAGAGATCTGACTGCCATTCTGGGGCCAAGAAGGATTTTTCCCCTTAGTTTGATAGAAAATTGGAAAGCACCTCAAACTGTTTTTGTTTTGTTTTTTTGCCTTCTTTTGGATCAACTGCAAAAAAAACCAAAAAAAACATGGAAGAAAGACTGAACTTGATGGACACATGTCTTTTTTCTGCCTATATATTTATGTTTCTTAGACTTTCACAAAGGAATATGTACTTGTGTAGTTTTAAAGTGCTTACGTGTCTTCCTATTACTTATTATGTATTGTGGTCAGATTGTAATATTGTCTGGTGGTTTTTGGAGTTATACTCTTTTCTGTAAATTTTTCATATGCTCATATGTAAGGGTTATTCATTAAACTGTGAAATATGAGGGATTCATCTGGGATTTACACGTTTTCATTCAAAATAGTTTACGTAGAAACATTCTTAAAGCTAGTTACAGTTTCACCTCTGCAATTTTGGCTTTAAATTACCATTTCCATAGTGAATTGGATTTGGCTTTAATTTAGTAACCACTGATGGATTCCCAGCAGTTAATCATTTAGTGAATAACCTGAACAGTTATCAAGAATTCAAAGATAATTTACATTTTTAAGCGGAAATAGCCTAACTAAAAACATATCGGGCTTTCTCATTTTATAGTTATACTGTTTTATCACACTAAAAAATAAAAAAAAAAAAAAAAATTGATGTAAAGAAACTGTTGATTCTGAGTCAAGCACAATATATATCTATCTAAAAGTTAGGGTTTGATAGTTTTTTTTTTTTTTATAGATTTCTTTTTATATAAAGGGACTCTAAAAGTGTTAGCAATACAAACCTGAATTGCTAACACTTTAGTGCCCCTGTCCTGTTCTTCCCCCATCCCTAGTTTGAGCATTGAGCGTTAAATTTAAAAAAAAACCCACTTTTTTTAAAGCATTAAAACTTCCCCAGAACGGCTTACCTCTTGTCATCCCTCATTGTGGAGCAGGCATGACATCCTCTGTAATGGTCCAATACAATGACCATTACAGAGCAGAACTGGGGACCTGCTGCATTCCTATGGGCTTCTGCGTTACGTGACCAGGTTCGCCTCTAGTGGCTAGAGGGGCAATAACCCTGCAATGTAAGCAAAGGACGTGGCCACTGTACCCAAACCACTCAATGAGTTTAGATGCTGGGCAAAACATACAAATTCCTTAACTCTTGCAGTGCTGTACCCAAACGTATCTACGGCACTTCCCTGGTTGTCCGAGTGCACATGAGCATGCTTGAGGCATCATGGGTAGCAAAGTCCCCCAGAACATATAAGTGCAGTGGAGGTAAGTATGTGTTTATTTTAATGACGTCTACTGCTTTTATTTACCCAGTAATTGCTATAATATAATTTAAATCGCAAGAACTGTCGCTACTTTGGAAGTGACTGTTCCCTTTTCAATGTAAAATCTTATATCCGATCATTGTGAATTTGTATTTGCATAAAATTGTAAGTTTGTAAGCTCTTCACTGCTGTTTTATTGTACCTACTGCTTATGTGTTGAATTCTTTTTACTAGGAAACTTGTTCAGTTTTTATATAATAAAAAAGATCACTACTGCGATACATTTTCTAGTCCCCACTAGGTATTTATAAGGGACCAGAAAGTTTAAAAACAAACAATAAAAAAACCCACAGTGTTTTTGTAACAAGGCAAGGCTGCTTCACACTAACTGAAATATAAATGAGTTACTTTATTTCTTTAGCGTTGGGACAGAATGATTCAAAATATATTACTTCTTTCATTACAGTAAGAAAAGTTGCAGCAAGAGATATTCTAAGCATCTAAATGCAACCATTCATTTTATATAGTGTCATTCATATGATTATCCCTTAGTTGTCTTTCATGGAAAATGAGTTATGTTGCAAAAACAAAATAAAGCTTATATTTTCCCATATATTTTCCCTCCCCTTATGGATGAGTTCAAACAGCATAAAGCAGTACATATATCTAAATGGACTCTAAATTATGTTTTGCCACACTTACAGAGATAACACATTACATAAAATTTTTAAGCCATTGTAAATGCATCTGAATGTGCCTCATTTGTGGGATATACCTTACTTTTCTTGAATATTGATCCGACTGTACGATACCCACCTACCTTTCAGCTTAGATTATATCAGTGCTGCAAAGGCTCTTGGCCCTTCCAGTTCTAGTAGCCAAGCCCCATCTCGTTTGTCTGATTGCCTTGACACGTACACCTCTGAGTGCTCCTAATTTTGATTCCTAGTTAATGCTTCCCTGTTTTCTTTTCTAGAACTGTGTTGTGCCAACACTAGCGCTATCCATTCGGATGTTATTAATATTTTATGGCATGGTCTGTTTTAGGGATCGACTGACATATATATATATATATATATATATATATATATATATATATATATATATATATATATATATATATATATATATAATTTTTTTTTTTTTTTTAGAGCCAATACCGATAATCTGTGAACTTTCAGGCCGATAGCTTAGCGATATTCTGTACATTTACCGTTTTTTTTTTTTTTTTTTTTTTTTTTTTTTTTTAATTGGTAAAGGCACAAATTATACATGCCAGTCAGATTTTTTATGTTTTCAAGAATATTTATATGTGTGTGTAGTGGATGCAGTGAGATTATTTGATTTAGTCAATGCAGTGTGTGTGTTTGTGTAGTGGATTCAGTGTGTGTGTTTGGGTAGTGGATGCAGTGTGTTTGTGTGTAAATATGTGCGGTAGGAAATCCCCTCCTCCCCACCCCTTACCTGTCTCTTAGTGCCCCCACTATTCCCCTGTTCCTCTCCCTTCTTTTTTAGTGGTCTCCCCACCCTACCCCAGTGTTCCTTTTCCATTTCCTCTCCTGTACCTTAGTGTCCTCCCTTAATGTTCCTCTCTCCCCCGTAGTGTTCTTCACCCCACTCCATTGTCCCGTAGTGTTCTTCACCCCACTCCATGGTCCCGTAGTGTTCTTCACCCCACTCCATGGTCCCGTAGTGTTCTTCACCCCACTCCATGGTCCCGTAGTGTTCTTCACCCCACTCCATGGTCCCGTAGTGTTCTTCACCCCACTCCATGGTCCCGTAGTGTTCTTCACCCCACTCCATGGTCCCGTAGTGTTCTTCACCCCACTCCATGGTCCCGTAGTGTTCTTCACCCCACTCCATGGTCCCGTAGTGTTCTTCACCCCACTCCATGGTCCCGTAGTGTTCTTCACCCCACTCCATGGTCCCGTAGTGTTCTTCACCCCACTCCATGGTCCCGTAGTGTTCTTCACCCCACCCCATGGTCCCTCAGAATTTTTCAATTTCACCCATGGTCCCAAGAAGTGCCTTCACCCCACCTGTAGTGCTCTTCACCACCTACGGTCCCCAGCAGTGCTCTTCACCCCACCCATGGTCCTAGTGCTCTTCACCCCACCCATGGTCCCAAGAGTGTTCTTCACCCCACCCATGGTCCCTCAGAAGTGTTCTTCTTTCACCCCACCCATGGTCCCAGTGCTCTTCACCCACTCCATGGTCCCCAGAGTGTTCCTACCCCCTGGGGTCCCGTAGTGCCCTTAACCACCCCACCCCGGGTCCCAGAGCCTTAACCACCCCCACCCCCCGGGGTCCCTGAGTGCTCCTTAACCACCCCCACCCCTCGGTCCCGTAGTGTTCCTTAACCACCCCCACCCCCGGGTCCCAGAGTGTCTTTAACCACCCCCACCCCCCGGTCCCCGAGTGTTCCTGTTCACCCCACCCCGGTCCGTGTTCCTTAACCACCCCCACCGGTCCCTTTAGTGTTCCTTAACCACCCCGGGTCCTCGTAGTGTTCCTTAACCACCACCCTCACTCAGAGGTGTTCCTGAATCCTCCCCACCCCCGGGTCCCGAGGTTCCCTAACTCACCCCCACCCCACCCCCTGGTCCCGGTGGGTGTGTTCCTTCCCGTAGTGTTCCTTAACCACCCCCACCCCCGGGTCCCGTAGTGAGTGTTCCTTAACCACCCCCACCCCCGGGTCCCGTAGTGTTCCTTAATAGGGATCGACCGATATTGATTTTTTTTAGAGCCGATACCGATAATCTGTTAACTTTCAGGCCGATAGCCGATAACTTGCCGATATCCTGTACATTTACAATTTTGAAAAAAAAACTATTTCTAAAAGGTAAATGCACAAAATATAAAAGCCACATGCACTGGATGCAGTGTGTTTAGACAGTGGAGCTGTGTATATTTGTGTAGTGTGTATATATAATGAATGCAGGGTGTGTTTGTGTAGTGTGTATAGTTAATGCAGTGACTGTGTAGTGTGTATATAATGAATGCAGAGTGTGTGTTTGTGTAGTGTGTGGTGTATAAAGGGAATGCAGTGTGTGTGTGTATAGTGAATGCAGTGTGTGTAGTGTGCGTATAGTGAATGCAGTGTGTTTGTATAGTGTGTGTATATAATGCCTACAGTGTGTAGTGTGCGTATACAATGTAGTGTTTGTAGTGTGTCTGTGTATATATGATGCAGTGTTTGTAGTGTGTGTGTATATATGATGTAGTGTGTGTGTATATATGATGCAGTGTTTGTAGTGTGTGTGTATATATGATGCAGTGTTTGTAGTGTGTGTGTATATATAATGCAGTGTTTGTAGTATGTGTGTGTATATAATGCAGTGTGTGTGTGTGTGTGTGTATATATAATGCAGTGTGTGTAGTGTGTGCATTAAACACACACACATACACTACATTATATACACACACACTACACTATATACACACTCTGCGTTATATACAGAATGTGTAGTGTGTGTGTGTATATAATGCAGTGTGTGTATATAATGCAGTGTGTGTATATAATGCAGTGTGTGCATTATATACACACACACACACTAAATTATATAGACACACTGCACTATATACACACTCTGCGTTATATACAGAGTGTGTAGTGTGTGTATATAATGCAGTGTGTGTGTGTGTTTTCCTGAAGGGATGTGATTTGTGTGAAATGGGGTGGGGGGAGGCATATTTTAATTTTTAATGTTTGTTTTATTTTTTAATATTTAAGTTTATTTTTAATATTTGTTTATTTTAATTTTTAATATTTGTTTATTTTTTTATGCTTATTTTTAATAGTTATATTTTATTATTTTTGTTGTCCCCCCTCCCTGCTTGTTACCTGGTCAGGGAGGGGGGATATGACAGTCCCTGGTGGTCCAGTGGCATTGGCTGAGCTGGGGGGGGCCGCAGGTAGCGTTTACTTACCTCCCCTCCAGCTCCCAGTGTAAATCTCACGGCCCTTAGTGCCTGACGGCCGCGGGTCTCGCAAGATTTACACTGGGAGCTGGAGGAGCTGCAGGGGAGGTAAGTAAACGCTACCTGGCGCCGGACCGCCGGGCTTGTAATGAGCCTGGCGGTCCTAGGAGGTATTATCGGCAATATCGGTATCTGAATTGGCCGATACCGATATTGCCGAAAATACCAAATATCGGCCGATTATATCGGTAAAACCAATAATCGGTCGATCCCTATTCCTTAACCACCCCCTCCCCCCGTCCCATAGTGTTCTACCACCTTTGTCCCATTGTGATCCCAAATCCCCATCCCTTAGTGTCCCTCTGTGTCCCTCTCTCTCCCCTCCCTTGTCCTTGCTCCCCGGTCTCCTGGTAGCTTGGCATAGCGGAGCAGTGCGTACTGCGGTACAGAAGATACATTCTCCTGTACCCGGCCGGACTGACAGGAAGAGCTCTCTCAGTAAGCACTTCCTTTCCGTCCGGGCCGGGTACAGAAAACATAAGTTCCTGTACCGCGGTACACACTGCTTTGCTCGGCCACGCTACATAGAGTGACTAGCAGGAGGGAGTGTTGTGCGCCCACCTCCTGCCGGTCACTCCGAAACCCCCTACCCCCCCCCCACCGGTGTTGCCGGTGATTATCGGTCGATCACTAGTCTGTCTAGTGTAATGTTTACTTATACCATTTATTATATGTATCTGTGAGGTTTTAAAAATTAAATTAAATTTAAAACTCTCTGTAAAGTATTGTTATAAGCTCTGTGTTAAGACCTGCAGTGGTTATAGTGCTGTGGTCTTCTGTTCCCTTTCCCAACAGCTGAGCATGAGTGATTATAGCTGCAGCAGGGAGTAGAGGAATAAGGTAGATGAAATGAAGTTCCAAGGTGATTCTTCCCAGCAAATAGAATATCCCCCAAACATGAGCCTAGACTTCATGAAGGGTGTAACAGGAATTAATTTTATTGACACACAAGGGCTTTTATGAGAAATCCTTCTGCAAGAGGACCTCCCACAGCAAACAAAGACAACAGCCAATCAACATACATATTTACAGTAATACACGCCTTCTCTCTGCCTGGGAGATATTGAGATAAGGTAAGGAATAAACCAATTATCTCCAGACAGAGAGCACACAATTTCCCCAAAACTCAGAACACCCCTTTCCCCACCAGGTACCCCCACAAATTACATATGCGGCACAAAAGTCCTGAATGGATCCCCCTGGCTCATAGTAGCGATTGTTCCTCTTGTCCGTTCGCACAGAACTACCGAATGGCGCTTCCGTGGCTGTTCTGGAAATACAAGAAGCCGGCATTCGGTAGTTTCAGCGGTGGTTCGCGAGGTTGAGTGTCCGATTTTAGTTCCAGACACTCGACGACCAAGTCCCGCTGACTCCCCTCGTGTGAACAAGATGGCCTCCGTTTTCTATTCCACGTGGCGTTCGGCTGTACGAACAGCGGCCGCCCTGGGAGCACTTAATAACTGTTTCCTTTGTAATTAATTGCACTTGGCAGTCCCAATAAAGAAAGAAGGTGACTTATGTGCCCTGGTTGTGCCTGGACTGTGATGTTATTTGCTAAATCTCTAATGTAAATTCAATTTTTTTTTATTTTTTTTTTTAAATGGGGTGTCTTTTGGGTGTGTTTTTTTTTTTATATATTCAATGGTGTGATTTCCAGAGAAGGAACAGTACATCTTTTGAGACAATTTTTTTTTTTATCTTCCAGTATTTCTGTATAGTTCAAGATCATTATACTGATGCTTATGAGTTACCATATAATTTTGCCACCAATATTTTGTCATCTCTCCTTAAGTGCAAATCTGCTATTTTCATTCGTTACGTCATCAGGAAAGTTTCTGAAGTCAAGTCTTAATATGTTGATAAAAGTGGATGTAAAAGTGAAGATTACACAAAAACCTCAACCACCTGCTGAGTGGATCTGGTTCCTAATACCTGATAAGATTTTTTTTTTTTTGCCTTAAATTTTTATGTTTATATATTAAATTGATAGCTCAACATCCCTCCCCCCCCTCCAATATAACCCTTTAAAAGGACACTCCAGGTACACTCATCAACATCCACCTATTCAGTGATTCTTTAGAAAAGCAATGGACGTATTGTCCGATGTCCGCACTCTGCATGCTGTTTACAGACATCAAATAGACTCCCGAAGATGTTTATTGCAACGGTTTCCATAATCTGTTCCTTCTTGAAGCATTATTATATACGCTTCAGTGAGCACCTCTCGATATTCTGAAACTCGCAACATTACCGTGATTTCAAAGCAAACTTTAGCGTAGTGAGCTAAAAAAAAACAAAAACATACATTGAAATCCCACGCTCCCTTCCTTTGCTCCATTATAGGTTGAGGTGTCTAGCAGGAAATATCCTTTAGTATGCAGATCCTATTTCACTCGCTAAAAAAAAAAAAAAAAAGAATGAGTTTTAAGCACAACTGAAGAGAAATTAGTTGTGGTTACTACTCATTTGTGCAAAAGGATCTCATTTACTATTTTACTATTCGGAGCACGCAACGGCCCGGTATGACAGTCTTATATAGAGTGTAGGTGTTACGTCACGCTTGTTCTTAAAGTAACCACGTCATCATTACGATCCTAATCTATTTTTAGTCGAAATGATGATGTGGACCAATCAGTTCACAGGTAAGTATATTTAAGGCTTGCTTTGGCCCCTATTCATTGCCCTATCATGATTTCTGTTAGATCCTCGTTTATTGCTCTTAGAGATTTTGTGTGTTTGACCTTGGCTTTGTATTTGACTTGTGATTTCTGGTATCCTGACCCAGCTTTGTCTTGACTGAATATTTCTGCAATCTTGACCTTGATTTATCTTGACTTTGTTTCTTGTTATATTAATACATTAAGTCTGTCCATTCTAAGGCTAGGTAATACGTCTTTCAGATCCACCTGTCATGGGTTTCCATTTTCCTGCGTGTTGGGGTAAGAGATAATGAGAACTATGAAAGGACTGTGTCACAAAAACTATGGGTGTGAAGAGTTGAAACAAGTGTCAAAGCAGCAGCAAGTTCTAGAAGAGTCAGTGTGGAGTAGTAGCCTTTGGACTTAGCCGCTATTAGAGCATTGGTTAATATAGTCAGAGCAGCCTTTGTGGAATGTAGGGTGGGGGACGAAAACCTGATTGAAAAAGGTTGAGTAAGTTAAGAAAGTGTGTCAGATGTTATATTAGCTGTAATGCAAAACTCCTTAAAATATTTAAAATCTACTTTAGTTATTAGAAGGGGAAAAAAGCATACGAAAAACATTCATCAATATAAAAAGTGTTTCAAAATGTGTAAAGTTAATTTACAGCATTAGGAAAGTTAACTGATCAATTTCTGAAAACTTAGGGTGTATTCAGTCAGGGTATATCTTAACGTGGACATCATACAACACCCACTACATAACACTCCTATCACAAAGCACCCTCTACCACATTAAACCCACTACTGTATTTCACATTATGCAGTATGTGATAATGCTCCTATTCCATATCACACATTCTCCTTTAAAGGGACACTATAGTCACCAGAACAACTACAGCTTATTGCATTTGTTCTGGTGAGTAGAATCATTACATTCAGGCTTTTTGCTTGTAAACACTGTCTTGCAGAGAAAATGCAGTGTTTATATTACAGCCTAGAGATAACTTCACTGGCCACTCCTTAGATAGCTGTTAGAGATCCTTCCTGGGTCATGGCTGCCTAAAATGCATCCAAACATTCAGTATCTTCTCCTTCTGCATGCAGACACTGAACTTTCCTCATAGAGATTCATTGATTCAATTCATCTCTATGAGCAGATGCTGATTGGCCAGGGCTGTGTTTGAATCATGCTGGCTCTGCCTCTTTGTCAGTCTCAGCCAATCCTATGGGGAAGCACTGTGATTGGATCAGGATACCACTTCTGATGATGTCAGCAGACTGCTTGTTTTTTTTTTTTTTTTAGGCAAACAGCATGCAGAGTTACAGCTTCTGGCTTGAATACAGTAAGATTTTGATATATTTATGGAGGCATGAGGGGCCCAGGGGGGCTAGATGGTGGTTTTAACACTATAGGGTCAAGAATACATGTTTATGTTTCTGACCCTATAGTGATCCTTTAACCCCTTAAGGACCAAACTTCTGGAATAAAAGGGAATCATGACATGTCACACATGTCATGTGTCCTTAAGGGGTTAAAGCATTAGTTCCAACATGTTCTCTATTCTATATACCGTATATACTCGAGTATAATTCGAGTTTTTCAGCACATTTTTTGTCATGGTCTGTATTATGGCAACTTACATTGTCATAATACAGACCAGGACCGCCGGGCTCATTACAAGCCCGGCAGTCCTGTTGGGGGCTGGCAGCGAGCTGCAATTTACCTTTCCTGCAGCTCCTGTCAGCTCCCTTCTCTCTCCTCCGGTCCGTCAGCTCCCCTGTAAGTTTCGCGAGAGCCGCGGGGTCAGAGCGTTGCCATGGGTTACCGTGCCAACGCTCCGCGCGGCGCTCAGACCGCGAGACTTGCATTGGAGCTGACAGGGGAGCTGACCGGACCAGATGAGAGAGAAGGGAGCTGACAGGAGCTGCAGGGAATGAGAGCC